GGGGGGGGGGGGGGGGGGGGGTTGCAACCTCCTACTCCGAAGAAAAATTCAATAATTGTTTAAATAAAAATACAACATAGAAAAAATAATATTCATAGCACGGAATGAATCAATTTCGCTCCAAATCGCAAAACGATGCAGAAATTTCAAACAAATAGAGAAATTTCTGAATTGAATATGAGGAAGGAAGAGTGGGGGAAAAGAACTTTAACTAAAAAATGTATCCCAAAAATTTGAGATTATCCCCCCCCCCCTAAAACCCACCAACCCCCAACACCCCAAGATTGTCGCAAGAAATAGGAAAAGGTAGAAATAAAATCAAAAATACAGTGGACTCTGGTTAGAGTCGACTGTTTTGCGGGATAGGGGAAGCGAATTCGGAGAATTCGACTCTATTTCCCTGCCCCCACTACGCGCTCACGCCGAGCCCGACTTCCGAGAACTGGAAACGATAAAATGAAAAATACTATTTCTTTTCTCTCTGAATTCAGCACTTTATTTTAATGATAGACTTTAGTTCACAGCTTCAACTATAATAGCAATATTCATATAGATTCAGACGATTTTTTTTATTATCAATATTTTTAATGTCATTGACTATATTTGATCACAGAAGCTTTGTACCTAACATTCCATAGAACAGATATTTCTTCTGGAGTTAACCATGTGAATCAAAAAAATCCAATAGATAATCCACGGCGTCGACGGCTCCATCAGGGCTATGAATTTTCCTGGAGATTTCTGGATGATCCTGGGTCTCATTATTCAGTAAACAATCATCCGACTGCAAATTAGGGACATCCATCGAGTGGCTCATCTCATTCATTGATGTATTTTCTGCACTTTCTCCTATATCCATCTCAACATCATCAATCGCTGGCTGTACTCTCGCTATTATCTCTTCATCCAGAAGTCCCGGCAACTGATTGTCCTCATCGGCTGTTTCCATCCACTCTCTCACATCACCTTCATCGACTGTGTTGGAGTTTTGGAGACGTAACAACAGATGCAGAAATTGAAACATTTGAATCTGCTGTTCCTATTCGTGTGTTTTTAGTTGCTCCCCAGACGTTGGTGAAATTAAGGGCTTCCAACATTTCTGTATAGTTGTTGAGCTAATCTCATCCCAACTTTTAGCACTCCACTCAATAACATCTTTGATTGTAATAGTTTTCAAGTGGGCTATGGGTGGAATTCCCCGATCTTGTGCACTCAACAATGAAAGCAGAAAGTGGAAACGATAGTTCTTTTTGAAAGTCTCGATGATTCCTTGGTCCAGCGGTTGGATTAGAGATGTAACATTTGGGGGCAAAAAGATCACACGAATTCCATCTTCATCCAATTCCTTGGGATGAGAGGGAGCATTGTCGAGTAATAAAATCGTTTTAGGTAATAAACCTCGTGACAATAAAAATTCTTCAACCTTTGGAACAAAAATTTTTTTGAACCAATCTTCGAAAATTGAACAGTTCATCCAGGCCTTAGTTTGATGTCTGTAAGTAACTGGAAGCTGGTCATGAGATACTTTGTTGAGAGCTCGAGGTCTAGCTGATTTACCGATAACTAGTAATGGCAATTTAAATGATCCATCGTAATTTGTACATGGCATAATTGTCACTCGATCTTTATTCATTTTGTGCCCAATTGCCCCATGATTCTGGCGAGGTACCAGGGTTTTCTTCGGTAGCATTTTGAAATTCAGTCCGGTTTCATCAGCATTGAAGATTTGACTAGGTGTTAGCTTTTCCTCTTGAATTAACTGTTCAAATTTATGTACGAACTCTTTAGCAGCTGGTGAATCGGCAGATAGTTTCTCGCCCGAAATAGTAAATGATTTGATGTTATACCTTTCTTTCCACCCCATCAACCATCCCTCACTAGCACGGAAGTTCTCATCTCCCCCATTTTTGAATTCAATGTCAGTGCCTTCCCCTGAACAAAAGGACCACTAATTGGGATTCCCATTTTTCGACAATCATCAAACCATATCTTGATCCCTTCATCCAGTCGTGGGTTTAGGGCTTCGCGAATTCTTTTACGGTCAAGGTGAAGGGTTCTCCGAGAAAAATCAGAGATTTTGTCTTTGTTTTTACACCACTTTCTGATCGTCGTATGATGCACTCCAACCTCATCGCATAGATCATTTATGTTCTCTCCACTATCCAATCGTTCTAAAACACTCACTTTAGTTTTAATATTCACAACAGTTCTCGTCTTACTCTTTTTATTGGCAATGTTACAGTCGTTTTCTTCACCTCGCTTCATTATTTTATTTAATCCAATTTTGAATTAATTTTATGCCAACAAAACGAGATTCTCCCCCTATGACAGACAGAAGTGGACTAAATTTTTTGATCGACAATGCAAATGCAGAATATTTTATTTTTGGTGAGTGGGAGGTTTATATCACGAGCCGAAGGCGAGCGATATAATCCCACAAGCTAAAAAACATTTTTTCACGAGTTACGAACAATATTTTTCATCACAATGTGGCGGAAATTGGACTTTTAGGCACGCGGAGCGTGCCGAAAAGGTCACTTTTCGTGAGAAGACCCGGTAAACCGCGATTCTAACCTCGCTTCGCTCGGTTTGATCGCGGTTTACGGGCCTTCTGACGAAAAATTGCATTCATCACACAGTCCAAAAGTATTTTCTGACGAATGTGATTATAGGCCTCGCCTTCGGCTTGGCCTACAAAGCCACATTCGTCAGAAAATACTTTGTGGACCTTGTGATGAAAATAACTATTTCGTCACAGCGTGATGAAAATGATTTTTTTTCTCGTTCCCAAATTATTTATTTTCAGAGAGAGTTTCTAATTGAGAACATTTTTTCTTCGTGCATTCACTAGTGATAAAAGCCACAATTCAGAAAAATTCTCGAATCAGGGTTTAATGGAAAAACCTAGCGAATTCGTTAGACAATTCTATTGGATTTCTATTGGATTTTCTAGTAGTTTTTGGCCGATTCTCTTAAACTAAATGCCCTGTATTAAATTGCATTATATTTCTGCTTATATCAGTCATGTTAGATTTTTAATTCATTGACATTGATTTTTAGCACTAAAGCACCGATTGTTCGCGAACGCGCGCAACTGCGCGCGTTATGGATCTAATTTTTACCAAGTGTTTCATACGTGTCATTCTGATTGGAGGAATGAGCGAGCCAATGGCAGCCTAACTAGCGTCAGAGACCAGCTGTGATCACACATCCCTCGACAGAAAATAATATGCTTGAAAAAATGGTAATGAAGTCGTTTGAAATGTGAATAATTCGGTGCGAAAGTGTTGAAACATGTCAATTGTTGCATATTTATTGAGTGTTCTTTAAGAATTTAATCGATATGATAGAAATAGTTGCTAAATTGACTAAAGGCTCGGTGTATTTTTCTGGTGAGGTTATAGAGTGCTATGTGACATTCACAAATCCATTGAATCCAATCCACCAAAAGTCCCAGAGTCACAGGTAATTGCCTCACAATTATTTTGTATTTTTAGCAATCATTTTTTTATTAATATAAACTTTTTCCATGCTGTTCAGTTCGAAAATGAAAGTATTATAAACACATAAGTTAAATTTTGAAGATTAAAATCTGATATAAATTCAAAACAGTAGTTAATATGGATGAAAACATTCTGGTTGGGTCTGTGCTCAATTGGCCGTCAAGTATTATATTGATAATAATCAATTTAGAAGTGGCGAAATCACATAGACTTATGAGAAAATGAATTTTCTGAGGGGTAACGAGAAGATTAAAATGTAGAAAAAATCTGGAAACATCAGAAATATTTTCGGCGGATATTGTCATGGATAGGGCTTCTAAATGCTTCAAAATAAGATGTCAAATTTTTCCAAATTTTTCTGAGGCTTTACTGCAGTGTAATTTTAAAAATCGGAAAAAGTGTGGCGCGACGCTCATAGCACGACCAGTGTTAACTCGTCAGCACTCGAGTTATATGAGTTTCTCTTGCAAAAATTTTCAGGATATGGGAAACATGGTCAAAAAATTGAGATTTTGGACTGAAACTTTTTGATTGCCTCAGGCAACTGTCCCCCTTTCCTCTGGGGTCACTATAAACCGTCTAGTATGTTCCAATAAATTATAAAAAAAGATTTTATCGAGCCCGAACGAGGAGTATGTGTGATTCTCTCGGCGCGAGTGCTAACGGATTAATGTCACAAAGGGCCAAAAGTCACTTCCAACAAAATTAATAAACCAATCGCAATAAACAAATTAATATGAGATACGAGTAATATAGAGGTCTCCTTAAAAGTATTATGGAGTGAATAGATAAATTGAGTAATAATACTGATACATCATTGGACATTCGATGAAGGACAGTGATCGTAATAAATTAATAATAAAAAATAGAATGAGTGACAAATACAGCATTTGAATATTACGTGTTTGTGTGTTGAGAAACAGAAACTGTACTTTATTTTGTCGATGATACTGCCTCAAAGGAAGTTACAACAGAATATGGGACAAGTATGGCAGAATTTCAAAAGCGATTACAGTTCAAAATTTATCTAATTCACACTGTCCGAGGAATTTTCATCACTGAAACCGTTAGCGAATGATGCAGCGACAACAGCAATGTAGAAAGGGAATGAGAAAATCATAAGTTTAATAGATTGAATTGATAAATATACCTAATCCTGGTACAAATAAAATTCCTAACTCAAGTAAAACTTCAAATCAATTAGTATGGAAAGTATTCCCGAAGATGATTTTGATGTGCCCAATGAATAATTCGTAAGATACTCACATAGAAAAAAATAAAATGGAAATAGTTTGTATAAATCAAAACTAGTTTGTTATCATTTGACAATTAGGTATAAATCATTTGAAAACTATTAATAAGAATAAATGAATAAATTTAAAAAAGGCCTGAGAAACAGACATTACTTATCGTGAGTGGGTATTTACAATAAAAATGAAAAAATGTATATCTATATGAGGTATTCCATGCCAAATGAGTCAACGGCTAACCCTCACCCTCTTGAAAATTGATGTCGATTTTTTCTATCATTAGGGGGCTTAAAAAACTATCCCTCAAATTTTTTCTGATTTTTTTGACAGCCCAGTTCGGAAATATCATTTTTTTCAAATTGTTCCGTTTTTTTACAATAACTCGAGTTCTACTCATCCGATTTCGATTTATTAGGGGGAAAAATTTTCCATTTTTCAGCACCTATAAGAATGTTTTTTTTTAAATTTTTTTCCAATCTTTAGATGCTTGAAATAATGAATTTTCGAAAAAAAAAGTTGAAAAACTTGAATTTTGCCAATTACGTTACGGTCGATTTTTTTTTTTCAGTAATTCTTATAATGAAAACGAAAATTTTGAGCCGTCATACATGTTGGGTTCCATCCAGGATCTATTTTTTTAAAATTTTTTCTTTTTAAAATTGCGAAAATTTGGTGAAAACACCGTAAAACGACTTTAATTATGTATCGAAAAAATATGTAATATATAGGCATATATTTAAATTTACTTCATACTGTTTATAATCAAAGTCAACCAATGACATTTTGGGGTATTTTGACCGAAGTCGCGGAATTTTGAGAATAAAAAATTGAAAATAAAAAAGATCTAAAACGAAACCCAACATGTATGACGGCTCAAAATTTTTGTTTTTATTATAGGAATTTCTGAAAAAAAAATTAAAATAGTCAACCGTGACGTAATTAGCCAAATTCAAGTTTTTCAACTTTTTTTTTGAAAATTCGTTATTTCGAGCATCTAGAGATTGGAAAAAATTTGGACAAAAAACATTCTTATAGGTGGTGAAAAATGGAAAATTTTGATCCCTGATAAATCGAAATCGGATGAGTAGAACTCGAGTTATTGTAAAAAAAACGAACAATTTGAAAAAAAATATTTCCGAACTGGGCTGTCAAAAAAATCTTAAAAAATTTGAGAGATAGTTTTTCAAGCTCCCCAATCGTAGAAAAAATCGCCATCAATTTTCAAGAGGGTGAGGGTCAGCCGTTGACTCATTTGACATGGAATACCTCATATACATAGGGGACGGTGGGGCAAAATGAAACACGGGGCAAAATGAAACAGCAAGAAAATCTTGTGATCTAAGGGAGATAGAACGATTTTCATGAAAACCTTGTTTGTAGAAAATTTTACAAGCTACAAGAAAGGTCCTCTTCAAAAATGTCCTATTTCCTTTAGATGACGAGATTTTCCCACTGTTTCATTTTGCCCCGTGTTTCATTTTGCCCCATGCTCCCCTACATAAAATGAACCAGAAAAGAATAAAGTAAAAGTGAATTTAGATATCTATTGAAATATCCAACTCAGCTTCTTGTTAGAGTTTTTAGTTCGAAATATCCGACGTATTACAACATCAGGAATTTCATGGTCAACATTGATAATAGAATTTGCTAATCAGTCAAATTCATTATTTCATCGTAGGAAAAAGGGAAACCATGCATGAAAAAATTCAATAGAAAAATCGTAGCGAATTCGCTAGACAATTCTATTGGTTTTCTATTGAACTTTCTATTAGTTTTTGGCCGATTCGTTTTTTCTTTGTGACTATTGAACAGCCGAAACGACAAACTACTATCCCTCATTTCATAAAAAACGAGCATTCGCCGGGATCAAAATACGTATGGGAACATCGAGTAACGAAGAAGTAGTGCTAGAAATTATATTTCTTGCACAGAGAATAAGATTTTTTTGAAAAGACAGTGTATTTTTGCAATAAAAATTTTCAATCTCGGCGCACGCTTTACATGTGTGGCACAAAAAATCCTTTTTTGATCATTTTTAACAAACAGTTTTTTTTTGGCACGAGTAAGACTTGTTTGAGAACTTTACTGTTTTTCTCTCAGTGTAGTCTTCGAGAGCCGGAGTTCGACAGCCAGAGTAAAGCCGAGAGGCGTCTTCTACGTGCGACTAAATAAAGAATTACAGTCACATTAAATTCACAGAGTTATTCCAATTCTACCCATAATTCCAATAAGGCATTCGAAATTTATTTTTTCTCGTTGCATCAATGACCCAACTGGAGTTTATTCACACTACTTCAATGCATTTTTGTTGGGTTTTTAGTGACGTCTTCGAGGGTTTGGCATGGGCAAGTGCTCAGGTTCATTGTCAATGCTCCACAAATGCAAAAGTAGTTCTCACGGAGAAAATCAGTGCCACGAGTCGATTGGGAGTTATAAATGCAGGTAAATCTGGAAATAAAAAAATATCACGAAACATTGTCAACTTTCTTCGGTGCTAAGTCATGTGGAATATATGTGATATATATGTTAAACCCTCTTGTGATTAAGATGGTTGATAGATTCTTCAAAGAATGTGAATTGAATATTTAGTTGAAAAAAAAGAAAATCTGGAAATAATAGGGAACTTGCATGAATTTTTTTCAATTTTCCAATCCCAAGTTTGGGACCTGAACAATTCATTTTTCATTTACACACGTGTGAAATATTACTCATTAATTAATAATTAATTGTTAAAAGTTTAAGATTTCAAACGCTTTGAAATCGCTCATGACGTCACACAGACGGTCGATCACTGGACCAGTCACAGAATGTCTCGAGCCGACCTAACCCAATCTTGAGGTGCGCCTCGACCAATGGAGGACGATAACTCCCCACTCTCTTCTTTTCCGACCAATGAAGTGTTACCTGACCGTCTTCGTGACGTCATGACCGAAAAATTGGCCTCGAAAACGACTAATTTTCAATTAATTATCATAAGATATCTAGGCAATATTTCTCCATAATTTTCGCCGTTTAGCTATCCATATGTTACGAGGAATGTGTGAATAGGGGGATTAGAAGGAATTAAGCTTCATGCAAGTTACCTATTGTAGTAGAATAGTGATACTTCATGATACTTTTATAAATATTTCTAGACACGACGTTTGCACCCGGACAGCAGGATAACGGCCACGCAGTGGTGAATACGAAACCAAAAATTTTATTCTGTGATTTGAGATTATCTCCTGGAGAAAGTAAAACATGTAAGCAGTAATTACTGTCTTTATTTGATCCAAGGAGAGGAGAGTATTTCCAAAACTCTTTAATCCTGTTTCGTTCACAGATATTTATCGAGAGACTATTCCAAGTGATGCACCCCCCTCTTACCGAGGTCATGCAGTGAAATACTCTTATAAGATAACGGTGGGGACACAGAGGGTCACGTCACCAATAAAACTCCTTCGAATTCCCTTCAGAGTTCTCTCATTAAGTGGTAAAATATTAATTAAACATTCATTCGCCTGGATTGAAGTAGATACAAATTTTATGGAGTATTTTTTGTTTTTCACCCTTCTAGAATTGCCAGAAGTGGCGATCTGCAATGACAGTGTCGATCTCAGTCCAAATAATCCATTCATGGAGACTCAGGAACGTGAAACACCCCTGGACATTGCTCTTCAAACCCTTCAGGTACTCACAAGATTGAAATAGCGTTTTGGAAATCAAATCAATCAAAATTGCGTCGCACAATTTGTTATTGAGTTAGAACATATTTTCGTGCATTTCTTTTTCAAAAGACAATTTTCTCATGATCACTGAAAAAATCGTCAGTAAAATCGATTCATTTACAATTTAGGAATTGGTTTCAGTCACGCAAGGATGAGTTTCAAAAATTCTATTGGATGTCTATTGAACTTCAATTGAAACAAGTGGATATTTGCATTTTTTTATCAATGAGTATATTGTTGCTAATAAATTAGCAACATTTCATGCATTTCGATTGATCCGTTACTAAAAATTACGAAAAAATTGCAGGCGGCTGCATCTTTGATATAGCTGTAATTGTACGTGGATACATCCATGGTCTTTCCTTCTTTCTCGAATTTTCTGGAAATTCCTTGAATTTTTTTGAAATTTCAAGAAACTTCTCGAATTACCTCGAAATGTCTGAAATTTTCTAGACTTCCGATAGATGGCGCTGCACATAAGGACCGTTTCCCAAAATGACCCCCCATATTGAAACCATAGACGTATCCACGTCAATATCTACACTGACTTTATCACTTTACCAAATTTTTACACTCTTTACTTTATACGATGTTAACTCTTTGATTGCCAATTCACAACTGCCGGCGGAGCGTGCCGATCTGCCTTTTATAGGGAATTTTGAATCTAGAAATTTCTGCATTGGAAATTTACATGACTAACAACCTGTCGGTATCTTGCCGATCGATCGACGGTTGGTAATGTATCTACAGTCTGCAACGCCGATAGATGGCGCGACTGCACAAGCATTTTTTACCGAACAACCCCTCAAAACGAAACCATAGACATATCCACGTCAAAAGAGCACATACATGCACATATTTGGTTAGCAGCGAATCAAAACCAAAAGTTGACAAATTTTCAGTGCAACACAGCGTCCTTGGGTGCTCAGCAATCCACCGAAATTCACAAAACTCGAACGGAGCGCGTGAATGACACAACACACGAGCGCGCAGTACACTAAACTAACTCACAAAGTGCACGATCAAAAATGCACTCCAATTTTGTTGAATAGTCGCGAACGTTAACACGCTTCATTTAGGCGGTTAAAACGCGGAAAAACTATTCGTTCGATCACGTCGGGGTCACCAGTTGTAGCGGTTTAGTGCGGGTCGTGAAATAAGAACTCGTGGTTGTGGAATAAAGACGTTTGTATTTAGATTTAAAGAGATGTGTTTTCATCGTGTTTCGGTATCGGACTGAATCGGACTGAATATTTTGGTCGGGAATACGAGGGTTTATATACCTTTTATTATGGAAGGTTCGAGAATTGTCCAGAAATTTCGTGAGGAACAAGGATAGGATGATATTTGTCTCGAATACGACAATAGAGAATATTCGAGACGCGTTAATCGAAATTCGACATCATAATTCGTTTGTGGCTCGCGCCACAAAAAAAAATCTCAATTTTTTCATGATCTACTCTATGCCTTATTTCACTTTTGAAGAAATATTATAATAAATGTTTCACTTGTTATTCCTTCCGCAGAACTTGACAGCAAGACGTAGTCCAAATTTCTACAACATAACAAACGGTCGAGGGCGAGTCGTTCGCTTTTGCCTCTTCAAAAGCTCTTACAAACTGGGTGAAGACATCGTGGGGACCTTTGACTTCTCCAACGCGACAGTCTCCTGCGCCCAACTATCAGTCTCGTTACAATCAGAAGAGCACGTTGCAGAGGACTACAGGCGACGCAAGGGGAGCCCAACGCTAGTCAACTACAACAAGCACCACGAGGTGTGCCTAGGCCTGAAGTATTCCCAACTGGTCCTCCCTATTCCCTTCCACGTGACTCCAGACTTCACCACTGACTTTGTGATGCTGAAATGGAGACTGCACTTTGAATTCGTGACGACTCTGAAGCTCCTGGAAACGCCGAAGGAGAATATCATGAACTGGCAGGGACCAGCCAGTTTAGACGTGGAGACCATGATCTGGGATTTGCCTTTGCATATTTATCCGTCTATTGCTCCTGCGAATTCTAATCAACAGACTAAGTACAGCATTACGATCTAGGGGAGAAATTGACCGAATAAATAAGTCCATTAGGAACGTCTTGCGCTTTCTCTAGGAAATTCTATCGATACGTATGAAAAAATTCAGTAGAAAAGCTTAGTGATGTCGATAGAAAATTCTGTTGGAATTCTATAAAAATTGTATGGGGATTCTATTGAAATTCTAGGGAATTCTCGTTAAAATTCTATTTTTTGTGCAGATTCTATTAGACATTTCCTAGGAAAAAGTCAATAGATTTCGATTTCTCTGTTTGAATTTTTCTCTTGAGGTTTTTTTATTAAAATTATTGTACACCTATTTTTTAGGTTTTTCCGCTATATTTGGCTTTGTTCTGCATTGCAGGATCCGAGTGAAAAAAACTTGGAAAATTCATGCCCAAGTATTCTTATAGAAAAAATTCCAACACAATATTCATATAGAAAAATCGAAATCTATTGACTTTTTCCTATCAAATATCTCATAGAATCAACGCAAAAAATAAATAGAATTTTAACGAGAAATTTTAATAGAATTTCTAGAGAATTCCAAGAGAATTTTCCAACGATTTCGGTAAGTTTTTCTATTGAATTTTTTCATACGTGAAATCACGAGTTGTCGAGATAAACGCTCAATCAGCAAATATATCAAATTTCTCCTTCAGAATGGCATTTAATTGAGTACAGAATAAAATGTTAAATTTGTAAAATTAAGAAATAAAAATTGTATTTTGCATATTCAAGGTATTGTAACATAAAATATCATAATATCTGAAATCACTCAATATACATTAGGATGGCTCATATGTAAAAAAAATTGAATTTCATAATTTTCGTGTTTGATAAAGATAACCAATGACATGGAAAGTACATGTGAATTTTTTCAACATTTTTGAATCATTTTTCAAGGTTGCGCCGTGTAGTTTTATTTCTTATGGACTTTTACACGCATCGTAGAGATCGAATGTGTCAATAATTTTTTAAAAACTCAATTATTACATCCCCCGGTGTTTCCCCTCCGTGAACCGTTCAGAGGGAGGTTTAAGAACAGAATTAATTTTTGTCTCAACAGAAAACTTATTACTTATCAAAATGAAAATCCTCATTTCTACTCAATTCAGTGATTTTTAGACGCCTTTAGCACGCTGAGTATCTGGCCGTTTTTCATCCCGATTCGGTTGATGGATTATGGAACTATCTGACAATAATTCAAAGAAAAAAATTTTCTTCCCCAATCGAATTCTGAAAAAAATGCGAAAGATAATTCCTAAATTTCCAGTAAAGACAGGTGTCCGGCTCATGCGGTGCTTTTACAACGGTCGTAAACACAGAAATTGAGCCTAGGCAAAAATTTTGACCTGCCGAACTAACCTGCGTTGGGAAGGGACTGAACTCGCATCGTAGAGCTGCTTTAAAATTTAGCTAAAATTTTGTATATAGTTTTCATGTTTTCGGATGATGCATTCATGAAAAAACGATAAGAACAGAGGAAAACCTTCTATGATGACTGTAGTGCGTCAGTAATACGCTTCAGGCGGCAGAAGGGGGCAAGGAAAATCCACGATAATGTCAGGGAGTGGTGGAAGAGGGGATTCCATTCATTAGGCCAGAAAAATTGTTCTTCAATATTTCATGTATCAAGTTTTTAATAACTTCTTTTTCTTCGGTTTTTTGTATTTTTTACTCTTTGATTATTTTTGATACATTGAGAATTTTATATTTCCCATATATTTGAAAGAAGTGTCAACTACATTTGTAACAAAAAAGGCATTAGACAAACCTAACTTAATCCGAAGAAATCCTGGGAGCGTTTATTCAACTCAGAAGGTTAATTATGCTTATTTCCTTCAACTCTATTTTATATCATTATTTTTCGAAACATTTTAATTAATGTCATACATCCTTCAGATTGAAAAAATATATTTTGCCCATGAGGACTATCCAATTCTCAATATATCGAGAATAATCAAAGAGTATATAAAAGAATATAAAAAAAAACAATTACCTAGGTGACTCACCCAAACCCTCACTCGGAGCCATACTTACTACCTGACACGGGCGTATCATTGAGGATATTTAACTTCTACCCAAGTTTTATGACCTCTACTGCCAGTAGGTCAAAAATGTCAGTCAAACTTTAAACACACGGCGCGACCATCAAAATGCAGTTTAAAAATATGAAAAAATTCACAGGGTATTTTATTAACTGAAGAATCATTTTTTGAGACGAAATAGGAAATATTCAGGAATACCCGTAAAATGGGCCACCCTAATATACATACATATATTTTTTGAGAATCCTTGGTCTTTATTCCGGAATTCGCATACTCTAATTTATAATAGGGAGAAATAAAACAAAAAATTAGAATTTTCTCAATCGAAACCATTTAGCACCAAAGATTACTTAAAGTAGTATAAACACTCCTTTCGTCATACTCCAGTTGAGTGTAACGAAAAGAAATCAATTCAAAATGCGTAAGAAAATATTTATAATTGCTCATTTTCTATATCATTTCTAACTTCGATAAGTGTGAGAAATTAATACATTAATTATTATCTGTAATACTAGACTGTCAAGTGACTACAGATTTCACCAGAAGGTTTCTACTCACAGGAGCTTCCATTAGAAATTTATTTCAGATCCTAATCTTTAAAAATCGAGGCGTGTTCATACTACTTTAACAACGTATCATTGATTTCTTCAATCAATTGAACATTTTCTTTGGCTTAAAACTTCGGTAATAACATCGATTCCCCTGAAAAAATAGAAAACATGAGTTTTTCATTTTTTCGTATTCTTAATTCCTACGCGGAGACAAAGTTCGAGAAGAATTACCGAACAGGTTAAGTAATCGACCAACTCGATTTTCAATATTTTTTCACCGTATATCGGGGAAAAAGTGCGACATGAATTCGCGATCGCAACGTAGATGTGGGAGCTATCAAGTGGTCTCTACATTAACTACTTTTGGCGGGCAACCAATGAGATCACTGGGTTCTCTTTGATCTCATTGGTTGAGCTCCATCATTGGTCCCCTCCTAGGGATCTCATTGGTTACTCCCCAAGAGTAGTTAATGTAGAGACCACTTGATAGCTCCCACATCTACGCTGCGATCGCGAATAGTGAATTTTTTTTCGTTGGCCCGGGAAAATTTACTGAACGTAAACTAGATTAGTTTATATTATATTATTAACTTGAAAATGAAAAATCATAAGTTCATGAAATGTCGATGTTTCATTAGGAGTAGAAACTCCCCAGGTGGTTTTTAGAAAAGTGTGTGTGTAGCCACTTTTTTCGATAACGCTTCCAGGCGAACGCGTAGTGCGATCGAAATGAAGTTAGTCACGATCGATAGGCATTCACTTGCTTAAGATTGGATTAGGTTGGGAGAGAAGATCCCCCACCCCTTTTTGAGTTTTTCAAAAAAGAAGTGTCAAAATTGAAATTCGGAGAATTGGAATTTGGAAGAACTGAAATGTTTCATAAGAAATTTCCGAATTTCCAATTTTAAATTTCAACTCTCATCGCGAATTATACATGTATCCCTTAAAGGGACCCATGAAGCAAATTTCAAATTTTTTCAATTTATTTTTCGCCTTTTCTGTCTTCAGGATTAAATTAAGTTACTTCGATTCATTCTTATTCTTCATATATATATTTTTGAAATAACCCCATCAAATACATTTTCGAATAATCAAAGAATACCCATCAATTCGATTTCTATCTGTGTCTTTTGATAGAATGATGAATGTAATGAATGGCATTGAATAGCAAAAATCACGAACTGGAGACTGAAAATTTTTAAAAAGGGATAATCGGCTAGAAAATGGAAAAATTTGTTTTTCTTCATTTGTGTCGGTAGAAACTTGAAGTTACTGTTTTTTCTTCAAATATGGAAAGGATATGAATATTTTCAAGTTTTCTGATCTCATCTTAGCGAGAAGAAATGAAAACATGGAAAATGACGTGGGCGGAAAGAAATAAAACATTAAATTTTTCAACGTCTCCGGAAAGTTTTAAAATCGATATATTTTTTCGAATAATGAAAGAATACTCATAAATTCGATTTCTATCCTTGTTTTTCGATAGAATAAATAGAATAAATGATAAAAGGTAAGAATTAGAGACTAAAAATTTTATGCGATTATTATTATGTAATAATAATTACATTTCGCAGCACGATTACATTTCGTACACTGAGAGAAAAATCGAAATAACATCACAAAAATCATTTCTTGAGCGAAAAACATTCCATACATATTTGATCAATTTATGATAGGTTTCAGACAAGAAATTGGTGCTTTTCGGGCTAAGGAGGAAGTTACTGAATGAAAAGATGTCTTTTTTATAAATGAGATAATATTCCTTCAGAGACTAGAATAGTTTGACAGAAGGAAAAGAAGCTATTGCTTCCCTTCGAACTCAACGCGATTGAGCGTAAGCGACTGTTATATTTTTTTAATATCTGGAGGTTTTCCTCTGCATAAACTCTCTATTCATTCAATATGAAAGTCTCTGATTCATGATTTACTAAATCGAAGCTTTTGATGTTTTTAGCCATTTTTTCATATTCTGACACGAAAAAACCGATTTCTTGTGGCAATAAATTCTCATTTTATCATGAAATGTTCATGTTCAAGTCATGAACATTTCATCGAAATCTAACATCGTCTGAAACATTATCCCGAATTTTTATCCCAAGAAATTTATCCTCAAGAGATGAGAAATTTGGCGCTAGAAATTAGTTTTGTGATATTATGACGATATTTCTCTCAGTGTACAGTAAAATTTGCCACCATTTTCTAGGTAATTTTTATCCAACTTTCCTCTCCGTGTAGAACAATTTTCCAACTCCCAATTGCACTTCATAACGATTATTCTTCGTTTAAAAATATCAGTCATCAAGAATGTAGATTGTAACGGAAGTCTTGTCCCTCATCATCGAGTGATCTAGTGACCGGCGGTAGTCCGGGTGGAGCAAGGGGCGGCATGAAAGGCGCGTGATAATCGTATCTGTAGTAAGCCAGAGACTCCCACCTCCCCGGATGCTGCACCTCGTAAGATCCAACCGGTGAATTCGCCCCATAATAACTCGGCCTCTCCGGAATACTGGGGACGTACGGGTACTGAGGCTCCAGAAGACTCTGAAGATGCCTGATGTAGGTGATTGCATGCCTCAATGACTCAATCTTCGATAGTTTTTTTCCCGGAGGCTTGCAGATTGGCAACTTGGATCTCAATAGTTCAAACGCACGATTCATGTCGCGCATTCGCGTGCGTTCACGATCGCATGCCGATTTTTTGTAATCTGAAAAATATAAAGTAGAAAAAAAAACAAATAAAATTGGGGAAAACACGTATGAAAAAATTTAATAAAAAACCGTAGCGAATTTGTTGGAAAATTCTATTGAAATTTCTTCTGTTAAAATTATTGGGCACGAATTTTCTAAGTTTTTTCCGCTATTGCGAAGTTTAGAACTCGAATACCCTATCTATCGGACGGGATAGGAACCCGTGTAAGTAGGTTGCAAGCCCTATCTCTCCCAAGGAGCTACTGTTGAGTGGCGAAAATGTGAACCCGTGCAAGTAGGGTCGGCGACCTACGCCCCGCCCCTCATCGGAGTTCCTAACATTTTTTTTCATTTTGCATTACAAGATCCGAACGAAAAAAACTTACAAAATTCATGCCCAAGTATTCTTATAGAAAAAACTAGGGGGCTATGCTCCCTGCTGGCTCCGCTCGCCAACCCTCATATCCTTCATGACCCCCGTGATCCTTATTCTGACGTTTAACATCCTAAATCTGACCCTTGTGATCCTTATTTGGATCCTTAATGTGACCCTCATTATAACCCTTGTGGCCCTTATTTTGACCCGCGTGCCCCTTGGTTTCTGAACCTTGGTTTTTGACCCAAATGTCTCTTATTTGGACCCTTACTCTGACCCATGTAACCCTTAATCTGATCCTTGTAACACTTATTTAGACCCTTCATTTGACCCTTGTCACCCTTATTTGAGTTCTTAATCTGACCCTTGTGACCCTTATTCTGAGACATGTGACCCTTATTTTGACACTCATGACTATTATTCTGACCCTTGTGACTCTTATTTTGACCCTCATGATCCTTCTTTTAGCCCTTGTGACCCTCATAACCCTTATTCTGACTCTCATGACGCTTGTGACCCTTAAATTCGGAGTTTAAATTTTGAGGACCAAATTTTTATCACCAGAAGTCAATGTGGATTTTTATAATATAGAGATTCCAAGAGAGTTTTCATACAGAAAAATCGAAATTTATTGACTTTTTCCTATCAAATATCTCATAGAATCGGCGCAAAAAACAAATAGAACTTTAACGAGAATTTCCTAAAATTTTAATAGAATCACAATAGAGTTTCTAGAGAATTCGCTAAGTTTTTCTATTGAATTTTTTTATTCGTGAACATCTAGATTTGTTTTCCTTTGTCTATCAGTCGAGGAAGACATCAAACTTTTTTCACTTGAAGTTTATTCCAATTGCAGTTTACCCAGTTTTGCATAAAGATTTTCAAAGTTTCACTTCATTTTTTTTATGAGAGAAGAAAACAAAGTGAAAGAAATTTCGAATATTTATGTAGACGAATTTTTGACACGTGTGTGAATGCAGTCGCAAGAACTGATCGAAAACAAAAATCCTCGTCAACCCCCAACAGTAACTTCAAATTTCTCGTTACCCAAATTACTTGAATTAACTCTTGCCATGGAGAAATGATCATCGGCCCCTATTTTCATCATGAGGAGAAGTCGAAAAGGCACGAGACTCAACGAAGCCCAGTTTTTCGACTCGTCCCTCCGCCCGTTGACAAAAAAAATAAAAAAATTGCGGCTATTTCCACAATCATCGAAAGAGGTTCTCCCTCTGGAAACCGATCTCGAAGATGTGACTAAAGTAAGACACAATCCCCAGCCTCTGGTGAGGGACCAGCCCTCCACCGAAATCACGAGAATAAATTACGTCGATGCGAGGAAAATTTCGGCTATCAAAGGACATGATGAAAATCGTCAAGACATTTCGATTCAGATGTGTTCTAACGAGCTTCTAGAGGAATCGCCACCTGCATCTGCTGTAAACGGAGAGAATGAACAGTTCCTGATTATTTCTGATGAAGTCTCAGCGATCGAGAGCTTCAGATTCGAAGAAATCGCCGAAAATCCTGCGTCCGTAACCTCGAAAGGACACGACGGAGGTGAGGACCTCAAAGGAGAGCTGTTCCAAGGTCAAGAAAGTGGGGGGGTTGCCCCTCAAGTCGTTGAAAATACCTTCCTGAAGATAGAGGACTCCAAGAGGGAAGAGAAGACCTGGTGGAGGATGATCATCGACTTCCTGGGGTTTTTGTGGTGGAGACGAGAGGACAAACGCGGGAGTAGGAATAGAACGAAGAAGTCAGAGGGGAGAACTCTCCTTACGGGGAATAAGGAGAATACTCGGATTAAACAGATCTACATTTCTTCCTTGGAAAGAGACATCAAGGAGAAAAAGAGGGCTAGGAGCCTCAAACCCTTTGACAAACGTGGGGATGATGAACTTCAGGAATACGAGAAGCTCAAGATAAGGCAGATGAGCAGTCCTTTGTATTGAAGTCGTTAATAAAAATGAATCATGTATGAAAAAATGTTAGTGGAAATCTAGCGAATTCGCTGGAAAATTTGATTGAATTTCTACAGGACTTTTATTGAAAATTCTAGTAGTTTATCGCCGATTTCATTGGGAAATCTCATAGCTTTGCTGCGCGTTTTTTTCGATAGCAAATGTTCAATAAAATCCATTTATAGAATAAATCAATAGATTTGATTTTTTATCACTTGTGCGGAAAAAGGTTATCCACATTGTGATGGAAAATAAGGTTCGACAGTCGTTGGAAAAGGTTTTTTGACCCTTGGGAGGGCAGCACTCGCCTTCGGCGAGTACAATTTGGCGAACTACAATTGAGAAATATTTGATGATCATTGACTTGCTGGGGTTCTTGTGGTGGAGACGAGAGGAAAAACACGGGGGTAGGAATAGAACGAACAATTCAGAGGGGAGAACTCTCCTTACAGGGAATAAGGAGAATACTCGGATTGAACAGATCTATATTTCTTCCTTGGGAAGAGACGTCAAGGAGAAGAAGAGGGTTAGGAGCCTCAAACCCTTTGACAAACGTGGGGATGATGAGCTTCAGGAATACGAGAAGCTCAAGATAAGGCAGATGAGCAGTCCTTTGTATTAAAGTCGTTAATAAAGATGAATCACGTATGAAAAAATTTTAGTGAAAATCTAGCGAATTCGCTGGAAAATTTGATTGAATTTCTTTAGGACTTCTATTGAAAATTCTAGTAATTTATTGCCGATTCCACCGAAAAATCTCATAGCTTTACTGCGCGTTTTTTTCAATAGCAATTATTCAATAAAAACAATTTATAACAAAAATTAGAATTATGGAATTTGATTTTTTATCACTTATGTGGAAAGTGAAATTTTACTCACGCTTCGCGTGAACAATCCCCACCTGAGAATCGTCGCGAATTTCACCTGAGAAACCCCGAGAATACGCGTTGATTTCTATCATCATTATTATTATTATTATGATTATCTCTTTCTTCTATACAACCGATTGCCTTTTTTACAGTTCTATCTCTCCCCTCAGCCCTTCGATAAAATGTTGCTAGAAAAATTTTATTTGTACATTTTATTTGTACTTTAATGAATTTGAAACAGCGCCTTTGACGAAACCATCAGAAAGCTCACTTTCAGGGAAATGCCTGAAAAATTAAAAATTTTCAACAACTATCAGCTATAATACCCCAAGACCTTCAAAATTATCGGATATTTCCCGAATGTTTTGTTGCATAGCAATGAGAGGGATTAGTTTTGCAGATTAAAACCCCGAGCGCGCAGCGCGACGGATTTTACTGCAAAACTGATCCCGACTGTTGATATGCAGGAAAAGTTGAGCGAATTATCCGATGAATTTTGAAGGTCGAGGGGGATTCGGAGGACAATTTTTTCATTTCTGATTTTGGCCGATCAGGGTGCAGTGTTCGGGGTTACGGGACACATTTCACCAAAAAGTGAGGAATATCTGTCAAATTCGTAGAAAACAATTGACAGGCTACAGGGAAATTATCAGTGTGAAACGCGTCACGTGACCCCGAATACTGCACTCTGGTCAAAATCAGAATTGAGGAAATTGTCATAAAAATTAAATCAACCAATATAGCTATCGTAATCATGTTTTAACTTCGACTTAATGGCATTAAAACAAACATTTTCAGTCATGGTTGAATTCATTTGAAGCGTGATATTCAAAGATATCCCCGGAATTCTGATTTTCAAAAAATACAAAATTTTTGTAAATTTTCAAATAAATCAAAATAACGATTATTGCTATCGCCTTCATCTTCGAACTCGGCCAATAGGACATTCAAACGAATTTTTGAAGCCATCATTCAATCAATTCAGAACATTTTTTTGTAGTTATTGTGGGACAGCCGATTTTCGAAAAATCGAAAATAACAAAAACTAATTAACGAATTAAATTTTAATTAATGGCGATTAATAGGATTCAACAATTGAAGAAAAACAGATTTAATTCCATCCATTCATTAGCGAACAAATGAAGAAAAGCTTTGCTCAAACTTTCCTTCAGTGTTTGAGAAAAAAATCCAAAAAACTAAACCCTCAAAAAATAATACCTCTCTCAGTCTGCGAGGGTTCCCTTTGCACGGCCCTGATATTCGCCTGGAGTATCTCCAGATGGGGATGAGGTCCCACGACCTCCGGCTCAGGTACCCGTATCACCAGAACACCGTCAGGTGTTCGCTCCTGCCATCGTTTCCTCAAGCTCTGTCTTCGCGAAACAGCTGGTTCCTCCGGGGACGACTTGAATCCCTCATTTTTCACCTCAACAGCCTTCATCTCCTCCTTCGCCAACTGTTGCTTCTTTGCCACCTCATCCAGATCCAGAAGCACTGGATACCGGTGGGAAAATTCCTCCTCGTTGCTCTCATTGTCCGACTGCAAATCATCACATACTCCACTCACAAAAATTCATTCAACAGGAAAATAAACTTAACGGGGACCCTGGTGAAATTTTGAAGTCTTCAGTTGATAAAACTAACGATAATATGGAAGTATAATTGCTCGTATTTTTCAGATTTACTCATAAGTAAATATTAAAGTTTATACGAGTTATTCCATGCCAAATGAGTTAATGGCTGACCCTCACCCTCTTGGAAATTGATCTCGATATTTTTTACGATTGGGGGGGCTAGAAAAACTATCTCTCAATTTTTTCAGATTTATTCGACAGCCCATTTCGGAGATATGATTTTTTCTTTGTTTTTTCGTTTTTTTAATAACTCGGGTTCTATTCCACCGATTTTAATTTATGACGCCTCAAAAATTTCCATTTTCTACCATCAAATTTTTCTCACGCAAGTTAACTGACAAATTTGATGATTGAAAATGGTTGAATCTATAGTATGGTTTATACCAAACTGTAAAAGATACTTGCATATCTTTAATCGAGATAGTCGAAAAAAATACCTAGTTTTATTCCATGGAATCTAACGAACATTTTGAAATAAGAAGTTTGAATGGAATGAAATTGTGGTGCGAAGGGGCATTTTAAAGCCAAAAATACGAAAAACGACGTTTTCGCCTGACGTACTGGGTAAAATGGATTGGGTACGAAATTTTTCTTAGTTTCTCAGGTATCATATACCAAAAGTCACTCGATGGTTATTTTCATAAACCGAAGACTTTCAAATTTCACATTGCAAATTTCACCAGGGTTTCCCCTTTAAAAATTATTTCAGGAGTCAATACCTTGTTCGAAAATTCACTTTTGATACTCGCGGTTTTTTCCATTATTCGAATAAAAAATGAGGTAAAATCAATTTTTGATTATGAAAATTTGCTGATTAAAACTGTTTTTCACTTTTTTGCTGCTCTGGATTTTCGAAACTGTTAAACACGAAACGGCTCGTTCAAGACGCAGAATGTGACTATTAGGGACATGCGTTTCAGTACCTACGGATAAGATGTAGATCGAAGACGGACACTTTCGTTATTAATGTTAATTTTATCCGTTTATTAAGTATTCAGGTGTTCACACAGAGGTTCTCAAATAATAGGTATTTGGATGATACGTCTCTGCATTGTTGGATCATCGATCAATACGTCAGGCCTGGAGGCGTAAATACGGAGTCCCCTTCGTCTTTTTAATCCGTTTAGGAGGCCTTCAACTTCGTCAACATATTTTTCCTCGCTAAAATGTTTTTTCCACTATTTTAAACGTTAAGAATATTTTTGTTGCCTGAAAAAATTGAATAAAATGTTTAAAAAATTGTGGAAAATTTAGGGTTTTTTTTTTACACTGTATTGAAGCGGTGGTTTTCCTTTTTCAGAAATTCTTTCAGGCTTTTTGGAAATGTTGGGAAAGTGCGGGGAGAAAGGGAAAATGGTCAGCCCTGGGGTGAGCTTGAGATTAGCATAAGTGTGAAAAGAAGCATCGTTAGAGATCAGAATAAAAGCGAGAATGTAAATACGTTTTCGAAATAATAATGGAGGCTTCCCCCTCTTTCGTCAATAGAAGGAATACAATGAGGTGGGAACAGGGGGACCTGAGGAGAAAATACACTCCGCCTGTTTGTTTTTCGAAAACCCTTTCCTTTTTCATCTTTTATGGAAAATAACAGTTCAGTACAGGGAGAAAAAAGTGAGAGAAAAATTATCGAATGACTCAAGTAATTCACCCTATATTAGGGAAAAAGTGCGAGACGAATAGTGATTTTTGTAAAAGAAACTGCGCCACGGAAAAGTTTTGTTTGATTTTTACTGAACAGTAGAAATTCTTGGAAAATATACAGGAATGAAGACAAAGCCAAGTGAGAAATGGCAAATGAATGGCCATAGGGCACAAAGAGATGTCTATGAGAAAAATATTTCTAAATCGAATAAATGGGTCATGACAACACAATGTCCCTTAAAGTAAAAATTGTCGCTTATGATTTATTAATTATTAAATTATCTCTTTGATGAGTGATTTCACGAGAAAATGTTACATAAACTTTTTTGTAGAATGCGAAATTTCCAGCAAAAGCCATCTAGTGACACTATCTTCTAAAATGAATGAATATGGGATTATTTGCATAATTAACAAATTCCCATTCAAATGGATTTATTAATTACTGAATTATCTTAATGACTGATTTTACAAGGAAATATGATAAAACCGTTTTTTGTTAAGAGGAGAACTTCCGATGAAAAGTGCTTATTACATTTTCTTTTAAAATGAATAATGAGTTTAGTATTTCCATCATTAGTGAATGTTGATCATCTCTGGAATGAGTGGAAAATCCCATTTTACAAAAAATATTTCTTACCGTTTTCCTCTAAAATTAATTATCTAATTTGCAAACATTCATCAAAGATTCATCCAAATCGATCGAAGAAATGATTTGTTAATTATATTGAATTACCTCTTTAATGAGTGTCTTACGAGAGAATGTGACAGGACTTTTTTTAGAATTAATTTCCAACAAAAAAATTTTATGATACGTATCACTCAGCTCTTGATCTTGTACAAGATGTTTCTTATAATTCCACAACTGAATTCTTTATTCGTTCATTAAAAAATTGTAAAACTAGAGATTAGGTATTCTTAATTGTCATTGGATTACAGAGATTCTCGGAGGTTTCTCAATGGTTCTGGATCAGACGCTCGGGGCGTCTTCCCTCGGTACATTGAACTGGCGAGGCGCACCATTGTCCCGATTATTGTGGATCTCGTTGAAGAATTTGTTGAATGATGAGAGAAATCACTGTCTGGGGAAGATAATTTTTGGGGGTGAGAATTGACATTTTATTAATGTCAATTCTCAATTGACAATGTCTAATTGATTTTCTATAGAAAAGTTTTGTTTGATTTTCTTGATGAAAACAAAATAAAAATGAAACGAAAAATACTTGGAAAATTTGAGCCGAGGAAGTTCCATTGACTTTTTCTATAGAATATTTTCCATTAAACATTTTAATAGAAAATCCAATAAAATTGTCTACCGAATTCGCTAGGTTTTTTTACTAATTTTTTTGTCCGTGATGTCTGAGTTTTGGTGCTTTGACTCACCGAACGTCATCGACCGGCCGAGGATCAGTTTCTTTATGTACTTTTTTAATGTCGATCGCAATTCTCGGTTGAATCCCATATAGATCCAGGGGTTCACACAGCTTGTGAGACTGCTGAGGAGTGAGAGAATTGCGAAGGCCGGACCTGCAGATGATCATGCCATTATTCATTGAAAGTAATATACATATACAAATTAAACGGGGGTCTTTTTATTTGGCGTAGAAAAAAATAAGAATACGGTAGAATTTTTTTTCTCGATATGATAGACATTCTTTAACCCTAATCTTGTCACCATACATGATCTTGCGACTTTGATTACTCCGCGGGGATTCGCTGTCGTGTTATTTAGGCTTCAACGTTTCCGAATTCACTCTGCAGGGTCCGGGCGCGTTTAGCGAGTTTCCGGCAACGTCGCGTCACGGGCGATGTCATTTAACACGGAAAAAAATAATGTGTCTGTTGGAAATAATTTGTTTTCTTTAACAATTTAAAATTAAAAAATTTAAATCTAAAAAACTTTTCGGAAACCCAGTCAATAAAAATAGCTGTGGAGGGACTCTTGATCTCGATAGCGGATATCTGATCATCGGATATCTAACTAGTATTTTTCGTCACTAGGTCGAAAGAAATTTTTTTGGCGAATATGAGTTTGCAGCCCGAGTCGAAAGCGAAGGATTCAATGATATCAGCTAGAATAGTATATTTCGATACGAGTGAGATGGAATATTCACGAGTGTGAAGTTTGCAATCACACGAGCGAATTATCAGTAGCTGCCAATCACACGAGCTGAAAATTTTCGTCTCACATGTGTCGCACAATATTTTTTGACAGTGATGTTACGTTCGGCGAGTGGCCGAACTGTGCCTTTTTCGTTTACAAGTAAACGAAAAGATTTCTCGTTTACGAGTAAACGAAAGGGCACTTTTCGGCACGAGGTGAATATAGCAGCAGTGTCAAAATTGTTTTTTTTTGGCCAAGTGACGAACGATATTTTTTGTCATGATGGCCAATATTGTTTGTCATTATAGCAGGAATAACAAAAGAAAGAAGAAAAATATTGGACCCAACCCATTTTACCCCGTACGTCATGCGAAAACGTCGTTTTTCATGTTTTTGACTTTGAAATGCTCCTCGCACCACAATTTTCATACGGTTAATTTTTTTTTGGAAAATATTCGTTAAATTCCATAAAATAAAACAAAGTATTCTTTCGATTATCGCAATTAGATCATGGGGAAATTAAGTTACGGACATTCTAATCAGTGTTCAATATCACCGGTAATTGGTGATAGTTCCCTCAAAATCAATTACATGTTCCAGGAAATCGATAACATAGTCCTGAAAATAAAAAAAAAGTTTTTGTTCCTATGAAAAAACCCGTTGAATTTCTCAGAAGTAACTAGCGTATTTAGAGAATAATTCTATGCGATTTTTTAGTAGAAGGTTGATTTTTCGACAAAAAATTTTCCGGCATTAACAAAAAAACAGAAGAATTGACATTGTTAGGACTCCACCATTCAATTATGGATTAAAATTGTTTTCATTAATTATGAACCTTCGTAAAAAGATGTTTTTACAGCATCAGGATCGAAGGCAGCCCACAGTTGACATCCAACAAACGGAGCACTAGTTATAACATGAAGGCTGACCACAGTGATCATCTGTTTAACAGTCTTAATCCTCGCCCTTGAAATCACCGGCTCTCGATTATTTTCCCTCGAGTCCATCCTCTTGACCTCGCCCCTGTGTCCAAACACAGTAATTTCAGTGTTCTTCCATATTTCCGCGCAAACGCTCACGTAAGTGTACACCAGCACTGAGAAGGGCAACAGTAGCACTGTTATGCTGTACCTGTCAGTGCGTGGAATAACAGAAAAAATCATAATGACTGATTTGTTTATCATTTTCCTGAGTCGAGGGTCGGACAATGAATCAATTACCAGGTGACGTAGGCTCTCTGGCCGTGGGGTGGGGTGAAGTCAGCCCAGCAGTCCCAAATGCGGGGAGAAATTTCTTGATATGAGAAAATAAAAATCTGAAATGACGAATTATAAATATTAGAAAAGAATTTAATTGTTCTTATTTCGTGTAGAGCAATCCCCGAAAATGTTCATTCCTTATAGAACATTTGACCCTAAGTTTCCGGATATTTTTCAATTGATTTTATTATTTAAACTTTGCAGGTCTGACTTTGAATCTTGATATTGAACCGTTAGAAAACACTGTTTTAAGCTGAAAAAAAATTAGAAAGTTTACTTTTGGAGAGAGATTGATGAAATAATCAAACAAGTGGCTCATTGCACAGGTCTAAATCAAGTATCGTTTTTTTTTTTGTTAAAAAGTAGCAATTTGCTTCTGAATGCATTAATGGAATTAAAATGAAAAGTGTATATTCGGTATTCTGTCATTAATTTCAGATTAGTAGGGATCCTTCCTGAAGTTTAACGTCGGGAAAATTCAATAGTTTTTTTTTCTTCTCGTATACCCTTTCGGGTCTTTACGATTTGTTTCCTTCCCACCTCCCAACCCCCTGTACCGCATTCGCCGAAGGACAAGGGAAAACCTCATTTGAGGGAAAAACCTGCCTAGGTACAGTCGTCTCTTGCGATACTCCCGCTTGACAATGAAACCGTGAGATTTAGAGTATCACAAATTTTGCCCC